TGCGAGTTGTACAGCGCAAGTTACTTCTCTCAAAATACTTTTGCCACTAGATGATGGCCATATCATTTTAATTGCTGTGCATGTGATGTTATAAGTGTCGAGTTTTATTCAGTTATTATTATTATTTTTATTATTTTAATGAGCCACCTGCAGCGTCACTGTTTCGCATTATTATCACCTAAAGTAATTTTATCTCTGCTTTGTTTACAGTGTAAACTAAGTTGTGAAGCTGACTGGTGCAACAGACGCTATTCTCCAGGTGAGTGTCTGTCTAAACCCTGCAGCTGTACTAATAAAACCTTATAAGTTTCTGGGGGTAAATATACAGTATATTTCCCCCAACGCCCCCAAAACCGTAGTCCTGTAACTTTTTAGCTTTAGTTATCACTTGATCTTGTGAAAAAAAAGTTTCACTTGAGTGTTTTCATTCCTGGCCAGTTTGATTATGGCTAACTTCTAATACTCCAAATTCTATGTGTTTAAAAAGAAAGTGACTCTTTTTTTGAATTCTAAAATCCTCATTACTTTTCATTTGCAAGTCTGGGTTTAATGCAGGTGTCAACATAAGGATGCATTTAAAATTTCTATTTTTTTCATCTTTTCATTTTTGGCTGGATTCTTGTACGCAGGTGAAAATACGTGGACGTCATTAAAGGGACCCTGCCACCACTTGGATCTGTTCTTTCTGTGTCCCTGGGTATAGACTGCTTGGTGTATGGCTCTGATGGACAAGCACAAACAAATCAAGCGGCAGAGACTCGACCGCATTTGTGAGGGTGAGACTTTAAGCATTACAGTCATATATATGTAGGATTCTCAAAAAATATATATAAGTCTTTTGAGGAAGTATAATAACATTTGTAATGTTCCTGTGCCATTGCACATAATGATAGTTTGTTATGAAATAATCTTTAATACTTGGTTGCAGAAGAGATTTACTACATGCTGTGTCCTCATGAGAAAACCACCTTTTAAGCCACAACTCACAAGGGTTTTAACTCCGAAGGCGGACAGTAGTAAAGAATTTGAAATATCCATCAGAATGGGCAGATGCATACAGTCACGGTGAAATTAATTGTTTCGATTTTTAGGTGAGAAAAATAGGTGAACTTGGATCTTTTTAGCAAAATGCATTTGAAGATGTTGCACTGCAGATTTCTAGAGATACAGTGGTTGGAGAGTGGAGAGTTGATGATAGTGATGAGACATAACGGTGCGCTAAAATGGAGGGAAGCGTCTGGAAGAGTCTCAGGAGACGGGTGAAAGGGAGAGAGGACAAGGTGAAGGGTCGTGGCCGCAGCTACAGGGAAACGGGCCAGCTGTCTCTTTAAAAAACGACAACAGCCCCCCAAACCGCTCTCAGCCTCAGCTTGGGCTATGCTAATGAGGTTAGTGCTGGTTGGCTGGCTCTCAATAGAGTCGCCCGGTGATTGGAGGCAGGCTGTGGGGGAGGGGCTGGGCGTGGATGACAGCTGGGATCCAGTCAGCCAAGAGCAGGCTAACAGAGAGAGAGAGGGAGGAAAAAAAAAAAACGAGCAATAGAGGGAGAGCAAGGCGAGGGTAGAGAGAGAGGAAGACAGGCTGACAGACTTCATAATGCAAGGTTAGCCCCGGTGCTCATGTGTTTTCTATATCGGCATGTGTTTTTGAAATTTGTGAAATGTGGAAGGGGGGAAGGGATCTAGGCTCTGGGTGTGGTGCCGGCTATGTGTGTGCAGTTTCCCTTTTTTCTTTTTTTTCCTTTTTTGTCTTTAGTGTGTGTTGGTGTCGCAGGCGTAAGAAGGAACTGAATAATCGCATGTGTGTGTATGTGGGTCTCACTGTGTCTGGGTGGAGTACTGCTGCTTGCTGCATTATCATCGCTTGCTGCCCCTCCCCCCTCACCTCTTACTCTAACTACAGAGGGGGGGGGGGGGGGGGGGGGGGGGGGGGGGGGGGGAGGAGGAGGGAGTAAGGGGAAAGAAAGGGAGAGGGAGGGAGAATGAATGAATCACTGAATGAATTGCATTGTGTGTGCGGCCATGCTCGCTGGTTGTAGGCCTCGGGTATGCCGATGTCCTTTGCTCAGATTGCTCTCTGTGTAGGCCTACTTGGATATATATTTTTACACAGGGAGTCTTTGTGACGCACCCATTTGGGTTTTTCTGCATAGTAAGAGTCTTTGTTTTTTGTCTTTTTTTTTCTCTAGCCTGTTTGCAGTCAGCATGACGGCATTCTTGAACCTTCTGCCGCAAATGTGAATCACACTGCTAAATGGTGTGCATCAGATTGAGTGTACCAGGCTTTATAAATACCTTTTTCCCCCCAGCTTGTGTGCATTTTATTCATGAATTGAGATATGCTCAGGCGTCAGAGGAAGCTTTCGCAAATATTTGTTTTCCACCCCCCTTCCAGCTACCAGCGCCTTTTCTTCCTCAACAGTCTCACCATTACGTCCTGTCTTCTGTCCAAGTAAATGTTCCTGCTTGTCACACTCCCCACCATGGGGGCAGGCGCACACACACCTGTCACCCAACAGGACTGAGATAGTGAGTGCTGGCGCATGTGTGGAGTCAGTCCAAGCCTGAAGACGTTAAAGTCGCCTTCACGCGTCCCTAGAGATTATTTGGGCAGGTTATCCAGCTCTCAATCCAGGTGTTAAGTGGACTTTAGCTGGCTTAAATGCAGCAAAATGTGTGAGTAGCACAGGTAATTGTCTAGAGAATCCACAGCGAGTGAGTGGGCATCATGTGTCCTGCCTCCAGCAGGCTCTACCCAAGTGGACAGTCTCCTGTTGTCTTCTAGTGCTGAGAAATAATTGTTGGATCTGATTCTCCTGAAAGATTTATCCAGATTTCATGTGAGAAAACTACAGTGAGCAAGAGTAAAACACACTTTACTGATGTAGCTGTTTTTGCAAAGATGTGGCTTTTATAATTTAATTGAATAGTCTGTACCAGTAAAAATATGATTTTTATATACCAAAAACAAAAATATTATCCAACGTACTTAAATGTTGTGTTAAAACACTGACATGGCAGATCATTTATTTAAGATGTTAATATTATAATTTCTTTTTTGAGAAGACACAGACTGAAGTGTTAGGGTGTTTGCTGAGTGGCTTACTAATGTTACAGTTACATTATGTTGGCATAAGCATTTAGTGTTAGCCACTGCAAACATTTCAGCCTATAAAACAAAGTTAATTTCACAACAGCAGTGCCAGCTGTCTCAAACAAAACGCTAACGTGTATTTCAGGATAACCTAAGAAGGACCATACTTTGTTTGCTGATACTATGAAGTGAAACCCACTCAACTTGAATTCCGTGAACCGATCTGGATGCTGGTCTTTCAGGTGCTTTGCTCAACTGGAAGTATTTCCTCCCTTTCTCTAAAAAAATATCATTTAATTTGCAGGGGGCATGTTGCACTTATCATCCCTTGCTTGCCCACCTTTGAATGCAAAGTACTTCCTGTTTTTCTTAGCTACCATATCGGTTCTCGCGGCATCCCTATTGATCCCTCTGATTTGTGGTAATCGTGCAATATTGACCGTAGTGCACATGAGCCAGTTGTGCAGATGTTTGCTGCTGAGGTGTTTGTGAGTGTGCGATTGGGGAAATAAAAGGGTCCAACAGGAAAAATAAGAAGTAGGGACTCTTCCAGACGGGAGAATTTAGGTCATGACTCAGGCCCCCCCTCCTCTCCAATCCCCACAACCTCCTCCCAGAGACCCCACAGTTTTCTCCGCCCCTCCCCCAGTCATCATACACCCATCACCTCACCCCCGTTGTCCCTACCCCCACCCGTCTGCTCATACAGTAGGCAGGCCAAGTTCCCAGAATTAACACTTAACTAAAAGCCTCTCTTTCATTAACCAGTGTCCGAGCTTTCTCTTTATGAGTAGTAGATTTGAACAGGACGCGATGGATCTGTGAAGTCTTGACGGTGTATAATGGTTACATGCCATCCTAAACAGAGCTGGAGTTCAATGCCAACTAGGCCAGATGGCTGGACACTGTCCATGCCCCATCATAGATATGGTTACACATTGCTTTTGTAACCTTAAAACACTTGGTATAAACACACACACACTTAAACACACCATTTTGATAGTTCCCTTAAGGTTCTGGTGTAAGTGTTGGAAAAATACAGTCATAAAAGTCTTGAGTTATTATTGTCTAGCTCTGTTTAGCCATGTGCGCAGGGTTTTTTTTGTGAGGGTATGATGACTTGTATCACGTCGGATAGTCCAGACATGGGAAATGCAGACTGTTGAGTCACAAACCTTCAGCTGAAATTTACTGGTTCTGAAATGCAAGTAGCCGGTAGCTCTTTACGTCAAACGTCATGTGGAAGCTACATTTGAAAGGGGACAAAAAAGCAGAAAGGCTGTGTAACAAAATCTGTTTGAAAACAAGTGCTCACATGCGTCTGTGGCAATTTGATACCTTTTACCTGGTTCTTGCTTCAGATTGATTTGATGCACATTTGTCCCTTTTCTCCCCGGCGGACTCAGGTATCCGACCCCCAATCCTGAATGGGCCAATGCACCCTCGGCCTCTGGTGGCCCTGCTGGACGGGCGTGACTGCACTGTGGAGATGCCCATCCTGAAAGATGTGGCCACAGTGGCTTTCTGTGATGCCCAGTCTACACAAGAGATTCATGAAAAGGTAGAGGAGACACAAGCACACACGGTAAAAAGGCACGACATTCTGATGTCACATGAAACATTCTTCTAAAACCTTCTAAATGTCAAAAAAGGCTGCATTCCCTTTTCCTAGAGCTGTAAACTTCAGACAGCGTCTAAGCTGTCTACACAAAAGAAACCTGCGGAGAAAAAAATTCCCCCCCACACAGATTTGGCTGTGACAGATGGCTCAGACATATTAACAAGCACATTTTATGTTATGTTATGTTACATAGCATAGTCTCTCAGAGAGAACCCTCTCACTTCTTTTTTTCCTTACTTAGAAGGCTCAGTTACTAACTATCTCTGACCTTCCTGTCTCATGTTTTTCTTGCTGGCTGCCTTGCTGGCCAGGATGCTATTGTAGCGGTCCTCACTATCATTCACCTGCTTCCTAAGAGAGGATCTGTCCCATGGTTGGAAAGATTCCATCTACACCATCCTGGGCTGCAGCTGGAGATTGTTAGTCCTTGCTTTGCTTTGAAACTCCATTATGAGCTGGAGAATCGCTCTTAACAGAACCTGCAGCAGATGGAAAAGTGGTTCATGTACAAACAACGTGAAGTCACTCATGATTAGCACCGCTAGCTGCAGCCCAAGACAGTGGAGATGAATGCAGTTGATTAGTTTAGTTTATTATTTCTTTCTTCATTATTCATTTATCATAATGCACTTAGCAATAGATTTGTAAAGAAGCAGCTGTATTATTTGATGATTTATTTAAGAGAGCATGCATGCATGCACCTCCTTCACAAGTGGAATCGAAATCTGTGCACAACACTGCAGCCTTGTAACAGAATGATAAGTGCAGTCCACTGAGGTGAACACCCAGGTGTTAAAATTTCCATCTGTCTCCAACAGGTGCTAAACGAGGCAGTGGCCGCTCTGCTGTACCACACTATCACTCTATCCAGAGATGACTTGGAAAAGTTTAAAGGCCTACGAGTAATTGTCAGGATCGGCTCCGGCTTCGACAACGTTGATGTCAAAGCAGCCGCTGAGCTGGGTGAGAGGATCAAATTTGTACTGTATTTTCAGAGACTTGTACAGCCATGCTGTGACACACAGTAAAACAGAACGGTTTAGTTAGTGTTTCTTTCTTCTTTTCTACCCGTTATTTAGGCATCGCTGTCTGTAACGTGCCAGCAGCCTCAGTGGAAGAGACAGCGGACACTTCGCTATGTCTGATTCTCAACCTGTACAGGCGAGTAACCTGGATGCACCAAGCTCTAAGGGAGGGGACCCGTGCTTCTAGCGTGGAGCAGATCAGAGAGGTGGCTGGTGGCGCCGCTCGTATCCGGGGGGAAACGCTGGGCATTATTGGTCTAGGTGAGTAAAAAGCGTATTGAGGGGTGGCATCAAAGTAAGGAAATGTGACGAATTTTAAAATAAGCCTGTGCACCACTAATGGCTTCTTATACCCCTAACCTCCCCTTCCTCTTTCCAGGACGTGTTGGTCAAGCAGTAGCTCTGCGGGCAAAGGCCTTTGGTTTTGGCGTGATCTTTTATGACCCTTACCTGCCCGATGGCGTGGAGCGCTCACTCGGCCTGCAGAGAATGGCCACTCTGCAGGACTTGCTAATCCACTCTGACTGTGTGTCCCTGCACTGCAGCCTCAATGAGCACAACCACCATCTCATTAATGACTTCACCATCAAACAGGTGTGTGAACATACTCCAAATATCCAAAACAATGTTAGCTTCAGAAAGGGTAGCATTACTTCCACCTCAGCTATGTTTTGTTTAGAATAGATTGTCTAGTGACAACATACCTCTGCTATCTGTTTAAACCCTGTGAGTAGCTTGCGTTGTTTATTTTAGATGAGATTAGATACGACTGCATTCTGCCGTACTTCTCTAAATATTATCTTGCATCAGCTGATAATTTGGTTCAGTTAGGTTATTAATTTTAGATGTATTTGTCACATCCATATGATTAGAAGTTTATTATCAAAATGACTTCAGTAACATCTGAGGACTCGTTCCTGCCTAATTCTGCCTTATTGCTCTTTGTGAGGATGAAAAATATTTTTCTGCAGGGGTCTTTGAATGCATTAATTGTAGTTTTTTGGTGGGATTAATTCAACATAATCATTATCTAGCATCAGCTAAGTAAACTGCTGCTTTAGCACACAGGAACTACTGGCTGGTGTTTTGTAAATAATCGACAGGACTTTAAATGAGAGTGGCTATTTCTATGTGCAAGACATTTCAAACATTTGCAGCTTTTCCTGAGCCAAACATTGTAATTGTGTGACTGTGTGTGTTAATCAGAGTTTAATAGTGCTCATTTGTTTCAGTTTGTACTGCATTTCGCTGGAAATTGAAATTCTTAGCCTTTCCTCGCAAGCTCTCATCCACATTGTTGAATGATATTGTTAATGACACAGATGCGCCAAGGAGCCTTCCTGGTGAACACATCTAGAGGCGGTCTGGTGGATGAGAAAGCACTGGCTCAGGCCCTAAAGGAAGGCCGGATACGAGGTGCCGCCCTGGACGTCCATGAGACAGAACCCTTCAGGTAACCCTAGTGAATTGGGCTCTAACTGGCCCACTACATTCATACATAAGTGTGGTGCAAACCCTCAGTGCTCTCTCTGTAACAGCCTGTACTTTCTTCTCCAGTTTTTCAACAGGCCCTCTGAAGGATGCCCCCAACCTGATCTGTACCCCGCACACATCTTGGTACAGTGAGCAGGCATCTGTCGAGGCTCGTGAAGAGGCAGCCAGAGAGGTGCGCCGGGCCATCACTGGTAAGACGTGTACACTCATCTTATGAGATCGAGCCATTTCTGTCGCTGCAGTGAACGCATTATTATGTGACACTCCTCACTTTTTGGAAACTATCACTTTTCTAATGACAGTTTGGGTTCTGTGAATCGCCCAGTGTTTGTAAGCATGCATACAGGTTGTTGGTGGTTAGGACAAGTGCAGAATTAGTGGATCAGAGCTGGAGTCTGACTAATTCTGGATTTTCTTAAGATGCGTGATAGAGTTTTAGAGTACTACCAGGAGTACCCCTTGTGGCTCTTTTTTGAACTGAGCAGTTACTGTCATATTTCAGGTGGCTTTCAGGACAAAGTTACTCAGTTTGGATCAGATGTTAGTGAAGGTGAACTCTGCCTTTACACTTTACTAGCACTACCCTTGGAAAAACCTGGAAACTCTTCTAATGATCATAAAACCAAGTTTTTATTACTGAGATCTCAAAACTCATTAAGGGTCCATGGGATGTCCTCAAATATTGTCTTTATGGGAGAAGAGGTTAAAGAGTAAAATTCCAAAAACACAAATTTTTAAATTCTTGATTATATTTCCACACATAAAATTTGAAAATGAAATACCTACCACCAAACACAGAGCATGTATTATGAATCAATCAATCAAAGCTTTATTTGCCACATGCAGGTTGCCCTGCAGTGAAATGGGACCCCCCGACCTTACACACACAACACAGACATTACATGGGGATACAAGTCAAAGATCGGTAGCATTACACAAAAACACTGAAATACACAACAATGGGAAAGTACAAGAGGGAAAAAAAGAGACCTCTACTCATGCTGTGCTTCCATGGTAGGACAGCATGAGAACAGGAAACAAAAAAACTCCTCTGCACAAAAAGCACATAAATGTCCACAGCACACTTTGTGAAAGACATGACAAGCCACAGGATTGCGTGGGGGGTGAGGAGTAATACGAAGCGAACACAGCAGCCGCCCTGCACAGCGCTACCATTCCAGCGCGGCACATAGACCCGCCGTGTTCCCCCACAGGAAACAAGCATCGAAGGCGTTTGGAATACACAGGCTTCATTGGAGTAACGTGTTCCCTGTTGCCATGCTGAGACTGTTTTGACTCATATTGCTAGAACATTAAACCAGAAATGTATCCGGTAGCTGAATAAGGAGGTTGTCGGTCATATCTGACAGCGAAACTTTGTGGTTTGTTTACTGCAGGGCGTATCCCCGACAGTCTGAAGAACTGTGTTAATAAGGAGTATCTGATGGCAGCCTCTCAGTGGCCCGGCATGGAGGCCGCTACTGTTCACCCAGAACTAAATGGAGCCGCCTACAGGTGAGCGGAGAATTGACCGAGATTGCCTCATTGGTGATAAGGTTGAATTTAACCTGATCTGATTTTATTTGGCTCTGTGTCAGATTTCCTCCGGGGCTGATCAACGTTGCAGCAGCAGGTGGTCTCCCAGGAGCTGCCGCAGGCGTTGAAAGTTTGGTTCCAGGAACCCTGGCACATGGCATCGCCCCCGTCTCTCACCCCCCTCACGCCCCATCCCCAGGGCAACCTACTAAGGCCGAAGCCGACAGAGACATCCCTTCCGACCAATAGCCCCCCCCACCGCCGTCAGCACATTCCGTCATCTCTGGAAACCAACCCCCGCCTCCCAGGATCAGACACAACCCTACCCTCCAGTACATCGGCAGCACTAGTTTGACCTGACGTGGCTCTACAGTCTTTTCTCAGATCACATAACCAGCCCAGGAGTGACCTGTCCACACCACAACAATCCACCCCCCCAACCACCACCACCCAGAATACACCCTTGCCTCCATCCTCCACCTGCTCACCCACCATCCCCTCATCTCCTTCACTCCCCCACTACGTCAGCAATAACTGTGTTCTCAAGGATTCAGTGATTGGATTGGTTTATTTCCTTAGTTGGTTGTTGTTTTAATGAAAAGTTGATCTGCTCTGGTTCTAGATGTTAATGTTTGTTTGTTTAAAAAAGAAGAAAACAAGAAAAAAGCATTTCTGACACGAGGCTTTACAGTCTGCCTCCTGCAGTCCTCCTCTGACCACTAGAGGCACAGACACAGAATGGTTGAAGCCCCACTTTTGTACATTAATGGCTCATGTTACTGCTCTCTTCCTCTTTTCTTTTTCTTACCCTTTCCATCTTTCTCATGATGGGGGGTGAAGTTTGTACTGAAGTAAAAGAAGAAAACAGGACAGAATCACAAACAGTACATCCTCTTCTCCCTGCCAAGTATCTAGCTAACCCTTTAGCCCACTTTGGCCCTTGTCTCTCCTCTGCGCTGTCATCAGCTCGCTCAGCAGAGGGATCCATAATGCTGTCAGTGTGGAGCTCTCTGACTGTCACAGTGTGTTTTTTTATCTGCTAAACTCGTCTGTGAGTATTAAACCCATTATTCTTTGTCAACTTTCACTGCTGCGATTGTCTAGTTTTAGGACAGTCATCCCTGTATTTACACACGCTTTTCCCCTTTTGGATTGTGATGTCATGAGATAAAAGCTCTGAGCGTCATATCAGAGATGTACCTGCATGTCCTGGTATGAATTTCTATCTCTTGCCAGCAGTCTTGAGTGATGTGCGTTTGTGTGCGTTTGAGTGTGCGAGTGAGCGTGTGAGGTCCTGTGCACCTGGTGCCCACAGGGACTCGATTGCAGCAGCTTTTCTGTTTTTCATTTCCTTCCCAGCTGGAAACCCAGCAGCATTTCAGCAGAGGGCGCTGTCTGGCTGCTCAGAGCAGAGGAAGCTGCCTGCAGCTTCTCTCAGTCACAGTTACAGGTAACCTTTAGTGACGAAGAACACGATGACACACTGCCGACGTTCAAACCACAGGAGGGGTGACCAGGGATAGATTACCGCCTTATTGTTAAGCTCGCGCCACAACCACCAACACACCCACTCTGTCACCCACCCTCCACTATTCTCCCACTGTGATGCTCCAACCCTATACATCTGCTCATGAATCCATCAATTCCTTCAAAGTGCGAGGGGACGATAGAGATTAGATTCTCTGTAGGAGCAAATGGGACGGTGTTCTTGCATGCTGGCTCATTAATGACCGTGGCATGCATGTGTGTGCATGTGTGTGTGCGCGCGCGCGTGATAGTGTGGGTTTGCGTGCGAGTGTGTGTTTGTATGTTCCCTCACCCTTATAACAAGCTGTTGTCGTTCCAAAGGAATAGCCCCTAGGAGTAACTCTTAAACGCTGTTGCCCTGGTGTCATGGGAACACCACTTCTAGTACCTCAGTAACAGATATTGAATGTACCGTGCATACCCTTTTATTTTTTTGTACAGATTTTCTAGATGCATCTTTACTATTCTTTACTAGAAGGGTTGTAAAATGGTAGCAGTAATGATACAATTTAAAAACAAAAAAAAAAAGCCCCATAAAATAATTTGACAATATCTTTGTAGGTTCGATAAGATCAATGAATACTCAGGCATTAAATCCAATGCGTATCTGTTTGCCTTTACCTTTTTATTTCCTCATAGTGTAAGAATTCGGCACAGATTCCGACTGTAGTCGATGTGTTTCAGTCCCAATCTTACTGGCTGATGGAAAAATGAGAGGGAAAAAAAGGAGGAAAAAAACAAAACAAAAGGCGATCGTTGTGATCTGCTAGTTTTCTTTTACTAGAACAGTAGTAGTAGGTGCTGTTTTGTTATTCATTTAATCCCCTTCGTCAAGCGTGCTCATATAGTGCATGTGAGAGTCATTTTTAACGGGGAAATCACTATTGCCCCCCCCCCCCCCCCCTCCCACTCCTTCCTACCAGACCCCACCGAGTGTTTCCAACCCGAGTTGCCATGTTTGTCGTGGTCAGTTTCCAGTGATGTACAGTTTCCCCCCTCAGAGTCTATGACAGACGTGGAGCGCGTCTGTCCTGAGATGTTAGGCTCCTCTGTCATGTGATGAGTATATATTTTTAATAAATAACCCCCATAGTTTGGATTATGAGCATAATAGTAATCTTAAATTTTTTTTTTTTTTGCTGTTGTTGATGATGATGATGATTATATATATATATATTTTTTTCAGTTCATCAGTGCACTGTTATGAAAACCGTTCTGTTTTATTTTAATGGATATGCTGTCTGTGTTCTACATGTTGTACTGAAACATTTCAGAGATCGAGAGATCCCTCTTTCCCCCGCGGCCCCAATTTTTTATTTTTTTTTCTTCTTAAAAGAAATTTGTCTGATCCCACCACCTTTTCTCTCCAACTGATATCCCGTGGGCCTTACTTACTCTCTCCCCATAATAGTAGCTGTTAGTGAAATTTGCCATGGAACCACTCACTGCCTTAATACAGTTGACCACAGCAGGTGAAGTCAGGAGACACACACCCAGCCAAAAGGAAAAAAGAAGATTGGGCCACATTCAAGGCCTCTCCGCAAAAAGCTCCTCACACCCCAGCAGGCCTAAATCTACTGCACCTTGTTTCTTTATCAGTGACGAACCACATTTAGCCTTGCGTGAACTCTTAGCTCATTCTGCAGCACATCAATCCTGTGCTGTACAGCGTTATTTTAAATGTCTTTTTCATTACTCCCTGGTTTAATAGTTCAAATCAGCCGGGCAGAGAGTATATGTGTGTTGGCTAACAGATAAGCACAGTGTGAGTATGCTCATAGCTGATATTTCACTCTTGGGTGTGAGACTGCCCCGCCACCGTTACCATCACCGCTCTGCTGCTCTTAAAAGTCTCCGAGCCGGAGCCACAGGGGTGACTGGTAGGGGGAGGACAAAGCGGACTCTGGTGTGGTCTGTTGGCAAAAAGCAAAAGGAGAAAACTATGGTGAGAGCTGGTCACTTTTTCTCTCTCAGGGTTCAAAATGCACACATATCCTCCAGCAGTCGCCCTCTGTCTCTTGTCCCTCATCCCAAGTTTTCCGCCCTGACAATGTAGAACAGCCTCCTGCATTTTTTTTTTTCTTTTCTTGTTTTTGGAAACCGCTCTCCCCTTCGATCCGTTTGTGCACAGGTCTGAACTTTTTCCTTTACTCTTTCATTTTTGCTTTCTTTTAGCACTGACATCTAACCATCTAACAAGGAATGAATGAATGAATGCTTGGAAGTGACTGTGTGTAATGTTAAAATTGGGAAATGTATTTTTACAACATGTGAACATTTTTTTTTCTTTCCACACACTCTCATTGTGAATTGATTTTTGTTTTGTTTTTTTGTTTTTTCTTTCACCAGACTGCAAAAACAAAACAAAACAAAAAAACAAATTAAAAGAAATTCTCCTGTAACTAGACTCTTAAGCTTTATTTTTTGTTTTGTTTACTTTTTTATTAGAAACAATCATGTTTGTGATGGTAACTTCCAATGGTAAACTCCACACCGTATTTTAATAAAATCTTAAAAAATGAAATTTCTCTCACTTCTTTCTTTGCGTTTGTAAGCTGGTACCAGGCGTCCTGCTGTGTACTGAACCTTTAACACTGCCTTTGGTAATTTCTTCGGGGGGAAAAAAGGGGGTCTGTGCTTCATTATTAGTGGTTAGTTAGATGGTGACAGTTAATTGCCAGCTGTGATATGTTGACAGTCAGCATGTTGAGAACATGGAGCTGTGTTTACAGAACGTCTGCCATAAACAAAATTGTTTACTAGCAGGCTTAAGCTGCTCTTTTATACGCCAACTGTAGCTTAGGCACTGCCAGCATGACCACAGGTTTACAAGTGGGCAAAGTAGGTGGGGAATACAAGGAAGGGGGGCTCAGGAGGGCGCAGGGATTATTGGCTCCAAAATTGCTTCCACATGCACACAACCAGGAACTTTTAAAGTGGAGCAGAGATCGTTCTTGACCCTGTTTTAATTTTACTGTACTGTGCAAAAGTCTAGAGCCACCCTTCATTTCTCTGCATTTGATTTCAAAGGAGCAAGACCTCCTTGTATTTTTTTTTTTTAATGGTCTTGAGCACTAGTTCTCCAGGCTTTCTAAAGGTCTTTCAAAGTCTTTCTCTGGATATTTTGTTTCACTCATTTCAGCCCAGTGCTTGTACCTGGCTGTTTTAGATGAATATATCTTTTTGTTAAGCCACGTAATGCTGACTTGTGAAACACTTATTCAAGTAAAAGAATGGCATCTAATTCAAGGGATGAAGCAGAGTTGCCTACATATAACGACTCAAAAAAAAAGAACCAGTTTTAAATTGGATTTAAAACTAGGATAGAGACTGTAACTACCAGCCTGTCACAAAACCACATCATTTGTTCCCATTTTTTCAGCTGAATGTGTGAACAGTTCAAACGATAACAGTTTGACAGGAATAAGGTAGTATTTTTTTTGCACCAACAAAGAGCTAGTAGCTCTTCCCATGGTGTGCGGTATGCCCTGAACAAATTTGAGGAAACTGGACAAGTAGAGGACAAAAAAATGCAGGTAAAACTACAGCAGATTAACACTACCTAGAAGTCTTGTCCATAAGAAATAGGAAAAATTGCAATATAGATCTGACATAGGACATGAAATATTCATTTGGCCCTTCAGCTGATCCATCTACTGTTCACAGAAGGAAAATAAGCAGGGAGAAAAGGCTGAGGTGTGCCGAATTACACAAGAACTGCACTAAAAATCAGTGCCAACAGGTCTTGTGGAGTAATGAATCCAGATTTAAAATTCTTGGTTCACTGTCAGAGGATGCCAAAAAAGAGGCGCACCAGTGAGTGTCAACAGCCATCTTGAAAACGTGGTGGAGGCACAGAGGTTTAGAGCTGCATTTCAGCCAATAGCATTGGAGAACGTTAAAATAAACACATAAAATTACGGTCATATTTGATCCACTATGCAATGCCATCTGGCAAGCATCAGACTGTTAACAGCTTCATTTTTTAGCAATGATCACAGATACTCTGCCGATGCAATTAAAACATACTTAGATGGAAAAACAGTGAAACACCATCAGTCATGGACTGGCCTCCCCAGAGCCCGGGTCGCAACATTATTGAGCACTATGGGTTCATCTTGACAGAAAACAGAGCAAAAGGCAGTCAATATCCAAAAAAGAGAAGAGCTGGAGAGCTTCGAAGCAGCCTAAGAAATTTCAGACTGTATTGAAGAATTAAGTCACCAAATACTGACTTTGAGTGTTCAAACTGCACAAACGCTGTGTTTGTCTTACATACTGATGTATTTCCATGTAAGTTTACACATATTTTAATAACTGCAGGCATTTTCCTGGCACCCACACTACCAACAAAGCAGCTGCTATGCTAGTAGCGGCTAATGTAGCTCTGAGCATCTTGCCTCAATAATCAAAAGTGACTCAATTTCAGCTGTTTATGTGCTTTTTAGAATTGTTTTACTGTATAGCTAGGTTGGGTCTTGGCTTTTTTTTCTTAAAAGGTTTTCAAGGTTTAATAGTAATCATATGTACCACTTTAGCTCAATAATGGTATTGAGGTATATGCTAGCAGCTATACCTGAATATTGTTGTGTTTGGAAGATAGATGTATAAAGAAAAAGAGATTTTAGTCTATTTTCTAAAATTTCTTGGTTAAATTATGGTTCAAATAAAATTAACCAAATTTAATTGCAGTTCATACAAAACTACAAAATTATTATCAGTCATCAGAGGTAGTATCAGCCCTACTTACTGTTTTTGTTTAAGAGAGTGACAAGCATATACTGTGTTATGTAACCATGTGTGCAGATGAAGCAGGCCCAGGGTGCCAAAGGTATTATTCACCAGACCTGATTCACACACACTTCAAACACACCATTGCGACATCTGTCAGTTCCCATGCTGTGCCAACACATTTTTTTTATTTGTTTGTTTAGTTCAGAGGAGGAGGGAGTCCTTCAGGTCAGGCCAGTAAAATGTGAGAACTGGTTCCTGCCCTGCTTCTGCAAGGTCAGTAATTTCATTTAACTGCTCTTTAAAACGAGTCGTCTGCAGGTTTGAGTGGAAAAGAAAACAACACAGAGGTCTTAGATACAGAGTTGAAAACGTTAAGAAATAAAACTGTTTGGAGTCTTTCTGGTTATACAGGGGAGCGGTTTGACGGACCCACATGTGTCTCATATTGGTTGCGTGCTTGCCCTTATGATAAATTAGTCTGGCAGATTGATGTCCCCCCATGTGGAGGGATCCTATCTTCAAAGCTGTTTGGCATCTTTGGAGTAATTTCATTCTTTTCTAGTAACCGAATCAGTAAGATACCAGTTTTGCTTTCAATTAAAAATGAATGAATCCGGTACTCTGATACTCTGAGATAGTTAATTTATCTTCGACTTCAACTTTGTTAAAAAAAACATCACTTTGTTAATACAGGGGACTTTATCACAGATAACATAACTTAAATATTTGAGATAATGTGCAAAACGTAAGTAAAAACAACAAAACAATGTGAAGCATACAGAATTTAGAAAATACAGCTGTATTAAATTCTAAATGAGAAAAAGAAAAGTCTTCAGCATGTCCTGGTTCTGCACCAGGGCCTCCTCCTGATGGGACGTGCCGGGAACACCTCACCCAGGAGGCGCCAGAGCAGCGGCTCTACTCTGAGCCCCTCCCGGATGGCCGAACTTCTCACCCTATCTGTAAGGGAGAGGCCAGCCAACC